GGGGCCAGATGTAGGGGGCGGAGCCCGCGAGAGGGGTGGGGTGGAGTTAGGGGCGGGGCCAGATACATAGCGGCGGGGCGAGAGGGAGGGTTCTTTTTTTTGCACCTCTTCAGGCTAAGTTCTGGTACCTCTAACCGGACATGCTAGTGTGAGCATGAGACTTACAGCAGGGCAGGCTGAGTTTGGATATGCACTGTCAGATTACCTTCCAAAGAGTACACTGATTTGTGCTCCGACCCGCAAGAGTGGGGCCTGCAGGGGCTCTCCCCAGCTTTCAGCTTGGGAAGCGTCGGCCCGCCTCCACGGAGGCTGATCTCTGCGGGATCCGCAGCGACTTTTCCAGGGGCCAGAGCCAAGGTTTACCCCTTTCTCTCCCTTCAACTTAAATACTGTTTCGCTCAACTGCCACGGGCAGAGAGGTGGACAGGAAGGCTTGTCTGCACCAGGCTCCCACCCCTCTGTCCAGAGGCGCAGTGGTCAGTGGGGCCAGGGGTATCTTCGCTGAGATACTCAGTGCAGACACAGCAGCTGCACGTATGTATGAGTGTGTGGGTGTCTTCTTTGCACACACGCAGCAGCACCCGGCACACATTGGCACCACGTGTGAGGAGAGTGTCCTGTGGATGGGTCAGGACTTCCCTGCCCATTTCCGGAATAGTGTTGGTCCTGCTGGGCTGGGACCTGCCTTGGGCCAAGACGCCTGTGCTGGCGGTTTAGTACCTGCTGCTCTCCTGTCTTTCAAAGGCCTGCGCCTCCACGGCCGCACTGACAGCGTGCCTTCACCTCTGCGCGGCTTTCACCTCTGCGTGGTTTGCTTTCAGTGTCCGCCCACGGTTCCCTTGGGCCTGCAGCTCATGCCCCTTCCACCCTGTAGGCCCCCCTTCCTCCCCCTCACCCCCCGCCCCCGTCCACATCTCCTCCTTTCTTTTCTTCCTCCCATTTCCCTTCTCCCCTGCTCCCTGCTTCCCCTCCCCTCCCACTCCCTCTCCCAGAACAGACCTGGCTTCCACCTGCCTGCATCCAGTCCCCTCCCCACGGCACAGCACGGGCTCTCTGGCTCTGGCAAGGTTGGGTCCGGAGGCCCTGGAGGTCACCAGGCCCAGACTGACCTCCACCTGCCCGCACCAGGGCTTATGTCCTGGGTCTCTCGTCCTTGTAGGTGCCAGCTCTGCTCTGGCTGTGCCTCCTCCTTGAACTCTCACCAGGACTGCGAGAGGCATGTGGTAGAGTGATTGACAGGGGAGTGCTGGGTCTAGACCTGGCCTCAATTTCCCCACGTGGAGTGGGGACGACAGAGATTTACCTAAGGAGGGCTATGGTGGTGGAGACAAGGTGAGGGGGACCTGACATCCTGGCCCATGTGGAGTTGTCCTGGCCGGCACTGCCAAGAACTGGGCTGGGGTCTGGATGAGGGCCCCCCACACGAGGCTGGTGCCTGGGGCCCAGAGGTGCTGGCTGAGGGGGAGAGAAAGGGGGGGCCCTCCCACCCCGGGGCACACACTGTTCTGCAGTCTTGGGATAAAGTGACCAGATTATCTCTGACATTCCAGGGAGGCTTGGGGCAGGATTTGTGGATGGGCGTGAGCTGCCCTGCTCTTGGCCTGGGTGTGTGTGTGGTGGCCAGTTGGTGGCTGGCAGAAGGGCCAGTCCTGCAAGCTCTGGTGGGCTGTTCCTGCACCACCGGGCGGCTGGGAGGAGGTGGCCAGGTGGGTGGTGCTCAGCTGCAGGGCAGCCAAGACTCAGGTAGGAAGGAAGCAGCCTTTCCTCTCAGAAACCCCTAGGCCCACCACTGGCCTTTGGCTGGCCTGTCCCCTCTGAGGTGGCTTCTGAGTAAGGGGACTGGGCAGGCATAGTCGGGGGGGCAGTGACTCACACAATTCAGGACTCAGCCTGGGGGAGGTGGGCACTGTGACATCCCCTCGAGGACTATCAGGTTGGGCACACCATTGCAGCATGGATGCCTGGTTTTTGGGTCACCTTGGTTAATTGTTTTTCCCTTAGAGGAGGAAGCTGGGCCCTGGAGCAGGGAAGTTACCTGCCCAAGGTCACCCTGAGACCTCCCTCAGGAGCTTTTGGCAAGGAGCATCCACTGAGGGGCCCTCAGAGGGGCTGGGTGCGGCTCTGGAACGCTGGCCTGTAGGCGTGAGGGCCATGTGGTAGGGAGGGCAGAGCATGCCCCCTCCGTGCTGCAGGGACCCGATGGGGTGCTTGCTGTCCATTGCAGCACAGGGGGGGGTGGGCAGGGTGTCCCAGATCAAAATGGCGTTTATTCAACTCCAAGAACTGGCTTCTGTTCTCGGGTCGTGTTTTGTTTTGGAGAAGGGCCCTCAGAATATCCTTTATTTTATGAAAGGATGGGTAGTCGGTGATTTTTTAAAAATCTTTTAAGCTGAATAAGGAGTCGGTGCTGATGTTGGTACAGTCTTTGAGAAGTGAAGCTGAGCCCTGAAGCCCCATGAGGGCCATTCTGCTGGGGGCCTGGCCCGTGGGGACCTTCCACTCTCTGCAGACATGAGCAGCCTGGGGTGCTCTGCAGGGTCCCCTTCATGGCCTGGGACTGCAGAGTGGGCAGTGGGAGGTAGCTTCTCTGAGGTCCCACACTGGGTGTGGCAGACTAGGCAGGTCCCAGTGTGCTGTGGGTGGCCTGCAGGGGAAAGGAGCTCATACAGGGATTAGGGCTCTGCAGGCTCCGTGTGGGCCAGCATCGCCATTTGTGTGGATTGGGAAGCAGGCAAGGTGCTGCCGGACATGGCCCTTTGGCCCTCCTGGGGGTCGGGAAGCTGTCTCTAGAGGGGTCTGGGCAGGATTCTGGCACCTGGTAAGGTGGCCTTTCTTGGGAAAGCATCCCAGGGGGACCGTGCCCAGGATGGTGATCCGAGAGCAGCCTAGGAGCCTCCCAGATCCTGGGACTATGGATCCGTAGGTGCTGGCCTGCCCCTCCCTGGTCCTCAGTGCCCTAGGGGGATGATAAGCAGGCTGGGCCCATGGACCCTTGGGGCACCAGCCCACTGCTGCCCTATGCTTGCAGCTTTGCACTGTGCAGTGCTGTCCATGGGCAGAGGGTGGGCCCCACACTGGTCAGTCCCCAGAGACCTTGCCCAGGCCCAGGGGAGGGGCCTGGGTTCCCAGAGGCCACTCTGCCAGGTGCCAGTGCGCTCTGATGTTCTTCCTTCTCAGGCCGGCGCTCCAGCTCCTCTGTTCGTGCTGCAAGAGAAGGAGACTCAGCAGACTGGCCGGCCTGCCTGCCCTTGGGGCCCTGGCCACCTCGACAGCCTCACCCCAGCAGCCCCCCACGTGCCGGGGGCCCAGGACTGTGAGCACTCGCCGAGAGGTCCAGCCCACAGGCCCTAGTGCCCCGACAGCAGCCTGGGCCATACACTGACTGTGGGGGAAGGGAGAGGCCAGGCCATGGTTGCTCCCAGGCCCCACCCAGGGTCCTGAGGCCTCAAAGGTGGGCAGAGGAGCTTCCAGGACTCAGGGGTCACAGGTGGCTCCTGCCGATTGGCCCGTGTGTCCTTCCCCCTTGGCGAGGTGCCAGGAAGCTGCAACTCTGTTATCTGGGTAATTAGCTTCAGACCCTGGACCGAGGCCGGCCGGTTCCTGCAGCTGCTTCCCACAGGCTGCACACCCTGACCCCGAGAGGGAGGCGAGGCCCAGCTCGGCCAAGCTGCCCAGGTGCCGGGTGGCCTGGTAAGTGGGCTGCAGTGCCCTCCCAGCTGCCCCCTTGCTGGAGCTGTGCCCCCAGGTCAGCCTGGGCCTGGTGACCTACAGGGCCTCCCAACCTGGCCTTGCCAGAGGCGGAGGGCCCGTGCCGTGGGGAGGGGATGCCCCCTGAGGGTGCTAGTGCAGCCAGCCGCCCCACAGGCCCGGCGTCCGTGCCCCCCTGTGGGCCCCTTGAGCAGCTGCACTGGCCACAGCCCCTGCCATGGCCGAGCATCTGGAGCTGCTGGCAGAGATGCCCATGGTGGGCCGGATGAGTGCCCAGGAGCGGCTGAAGCACGCCCAGAAGCGGCGTGCCCAGCAAGTGCGGCTATGGGCCCAGGCCGAGAAGGAAGCACAGGGCAGAAAGGGCCCCGGGGAGCGGCCGCGGCGGGGCACAGACTGTGGCCGGCCGGAGAAGCAGGTCCTCTTCCCTCCTGGTGTCGTCCTTCTGGAGGCTGCTGCCCGCAACGACCTGGAGGAAGGTACGTGCATGCGGAGAGCCGGCTGGCGGCCCCTTGCAGGGCCCCAGGCAGCACCCCTCCATGAGTGCCCACGCACAGGCAGGCCTTTCTTTGGCCCCTTACCCTCCTGTGCTGGGCTCTGGCCTCCTCAGCTGTAGCGGCCTTGGGTGTCCCACCAGGCAAGCCACCATGTCGGCTGTGCTAGAGAGCAACCTTGGACGGAGCAGGGCAGGCTGGGGCTGTGGAGCTGGGGGCTGTTCCCAGAGCCCCGAGCCCCCCTTTCTGCCCTGCCCCCCTCGGTGCCCCGGCTCTGCCCATCCTTCCTTTTCTTCCTCCCCACTTGAACCTCCTAATGGGGCAGCCAGGGGCTGGCCATCAGGTGGGAACTGCGCAGTGGGCTGGCAGGCTCTGAAGGGTCAGATGTTGCCATGGCCCCTGAGAGAGGATGCTCAGCATGGGCAGCTGCCTCTAGCCCTCGCACTCCAGGCCCAACACCGGGGTAAGGCCACCTGCCTTCACTGAGGCTGCAAGGGCTTCGTGGGCAGGGAGGCTGGCCCCAGTCTCTGGGAGTCCCTGTCCTCTTCTGGGCTGGTCTTAGGGCTCTGCGACAGGGACAGAGAGAAGGGGAGGGATAGTCCAGGTCAGACCCCACAACGGCCCCCAGGTCTTCCTCTGTGAACGTAGCCCCGCTGGGCTCCAGACGATTCTGCTGGAGAGGGCCGCTGGCACCCCCACCTGGGCTGTCCCCCACAGGTCCCACACGTCCCTCTAGCCTTCCCTCCCGGCAGGCCTGCCCCACATGCTCCCTCCCCTGGTGGTACAGCTCAAGGCATGCATCTGAGCATGGCTGGGGCAGACAGGATGCCCGGGCTCCTGGTCTCTGAGCCCTCGCCCTGGGCCCTGCGGTCCCTTTACTGTCTGTACCACCGTCTATACCACAGGGACCCCAAGTACAGTGGGCCCAGGTGGCCTGGAGCACCGGGTCCTGGGTGGGTTCGAGGCTGCAGCAGTGGGGACCAGACTTAACCACAGTCTCCCTCCTGCTTGCAGTCCGTCAGCTCCTTGAGAGTGGGGTCAGCCCCGACCTGGCCAATGAGGATGGGCTGACGGCGCTGCACCAGGTCAGCGTGCACTGCAGGGGCTGGGGGTCCGAGGGCGTGGGGGTGGGGCCAGGATGTGCAGACACTCAGGCCCTTGTGGCTCGCAGTGCTGCATTGATGACTTCCGGGAGATGGTGTGGCAGCTCCTGGAGGCCGGAGCCAACGTCAATGCCTGCGACAGCGAGTTCTGGACGCCCCTGCACGCTGCAGCCACCTGTGGCCACCTGCATCTGGTGGAGCTGCTCATTGCCCGGTAGGGCCCAGGAGCAGGTGTAGCCTGGGGACCAGGGCATCTGCTGCAGGGAGGGGGTGTCACCTCCTTCAAAAAACAGCCCAGCCCTTGGCCTCTCGTGTCCCCACCTTCCCTTGTGCCGACCATGCCTGCATCCTGGCTTGGGGGGCGGGGTGAGGCCTGGGCAGGTCCGCAGGCACTCTGGCCTTCCCGGGGTCTGCACAGAAAGAGGCCCAGGAAATTTTGGTCGAAGTGATGAGAATAGACTTGGAAAGGAAGGAGAGAGAGTGGAGAGGCTGGTTGGGACCTGGGAGGTGGGGCCTGGGGCACAGGTGGGGCCTTTAGCAAGGAAGAGGGTGGAGCAGACCTGGGCTCAGGGAGAGCAGGCTCCAGAGGGCAGGGGACCCCTCTCGCCATGGCCCCCGAACCCTGTGCTCACTCAAGCCATCCTGGGAGCCATGGGGAGGGGAAGTGTCGGTCCCTTTCACACACAGGCCAGGCGTTGTGGAGTAGGAGGGGCCGCCCATGCAGAAGCTCCGAGAGCCGCAGACCGAAGCCTGGCCCCCAGCTGCTGTTCTGGGTTCCCCTTTATCCTGGGCAGCGCTCCTTTCACTTTGCGGGGTCTCCGAACCTAAATGGGTCTGCTCCCCCTTGCTGCCCTCTGTTCCCTGGGCCCCCAGGGTCCTGCACCCCCCAGGTGGGCCTTCCTGTGCTCCTCCACCGTCTGGGGGTCTCCTCTGCACAGAACCGGGCAGTCCTGGGCAGAGGCAGAACGCTGAGAGGAGGGGGCGCCAGGGGTGAGGAGCTCGTGCATCTGGGAGGGCCCCGCGGGAGCACACCTCCAGCCGTCCGTAGGGCTGGGCGCAGGCTGGAGCCTGTCCCAAGCCGCGCTCTCTCCGCAGCGGTGCCGACCTCCTGGCGGTCAACACCGACGGGAATATGCCCTATGACCTGTGTGAAGACGAGCAGACGCTGGACTGCCTCGAGACGGCCATGGCCGACCGCGGTGAGTGAGAGAGTTGCGTGCGGGGTGGGGCCCCGCAGACAAGGCTCTGAGCCTGCCGCCCCGCAGGCATCACCCAGGAGAGCATCGAGGACGCGCGCGCTGTGCCGGAGCTGCGGATGCTGGAGGACATCCGGAGCTTGCTGCACGCGGAGGCTGACCTCGACGTCCCCCGGGACCACGGGGCCACGCTGGTGAGGGCGGGGCCTCGGGGGCGGCACCGGCGCCAGCCAGGGACGCCGTGGGGTTTGGAGAGTACTGGAGGGACTCCCCCTCCGCCCTCCCCGACACTCAGGGCTGGCGCTTCACCTGCAGCTACACATCGCTTCGGCCAACGGGTTTGGGGAGGCGGCCGCGCTGCTTCTGGAGCACAGGGCCAGCCTGAGCGCCAAGGACTGTGACGGCTGGGAGCCGCTGCACGCGGCAGCCTACTGGGGCCAGGTGGGCGCGCGGACAGGGGCGTGGGCGGGGGCATGCAGCAGGCCGGGCAGCCTCAGCATGCACGCCGCCTGCTGGCCTGCAGGTGCACCTGGTGGAGCTGCTCGTGGCGCACGGGGCGGACTTGAATGGGAAGTCCCTGATGGAGGAGACACCCCTCGGTGAGCCTCGTAGGGTTCTCGCCTCCAGACCAGCCCACAGGGAGGACGGGAGGGCCGCCAGCTGACGCCTGTGCTCACTTCTCCCCCAGACGTTTGCGGAGATGAGGAGGTGCGGGCCAAGCTGCTGGAGCTGAAGCACAAGCGTGACGCCCTCCTGCGGGCCCAGGGCCGCCAGCGGTCCCTGCTGCGCTGCCGCACTTCCAGTGCTGGTAGCCGGGGGTGAGCACCGACACAGACACGCCCTCCCAGCACCCTGCCAGCTGGCACCCTCCCCATGCTGGCCCTCCCCCTTGGGCTTTGCCCTGAGCAGACGTGCCAGGTGGAGCTTGGGGCAGAGTTCCCAGGGCAGGGCCAGCTAGGCGGGGCGGCCTCCCCACTCCCTCACCTCCCCCTCCCCCAGGAAGGTGGTGAGGCGGGCCAGCCTGACCCAGCGCTCCAGCCTGTACCGCAAGGAACACGCCCAGGAGGCCATAGTGTGGCAGCAGCCTCCACCCACCAGCCCTGAGCCTCCTGAGGAGGATGAGGACCGCCAGACCAATGCTGAGCTCCAGCTACCGCCCCCTGAGGTGAGCGCCGTCCCCTGGGCTGCCCTGCCCCGAGGACAAAGCGCCAGCCAAAAGGTGGACCTGGCTGGACCTGAGTCCCTCCCACCATGGTTGTGTGCCCTGAGTCCTGTACTTTGGTTTTTCCCGTGCACCAGCACCACCGTCAGGGTGGCGCTGCAGGGCCCAGTGACCTGTGCCCCTAGTGTAGGCTAGCCGCCCCCACCCCCGCCCTCTGGGGCTTGCTGCCCTCCTGGCGTCTGTCGTCTGTCTCTCCGTTAGCACTCTGCTAGCGGAGTGCCAGGGCATTGAGCCCAAGGCTGGGGAGAGGAAGGGGCACCCTCTGACGGCTGCTGGTCTGGCTCCATCCACAGGAGGCTGACCCTGAGGCTGCCCACCCACACAATGGCCGTGTGGGAAGCCCCCTGGGGCGGCACCTGTACTCCAAGCGGTTGGATCGCAGCGTCTCCTACCAGCTGAGCCCTCTGGACAGCTCCACGGCGGAAGCCCTTGGGCGGGACAGGGCCCACCACACCTTGGCGGAGCTCAAGCGCCAGCGAGCCGCTGCCAAGCTGCATCGACCCCTAGCCGAGGGGCCTGAGGCCCCCAGTTCTGGCCTACCTGCTGACACTGGGACCCCCCAGTCTGAGTGTGGATCTGGGGCCAGCGGGGACCCGCCCCTGCTCAAGCTGACAGCCCCCTCGGAGGAGGCCTCTGGGGAGAAGAGGCCGTGCTGCCGGCTCATGTGAGGGGTGGGCGGCACCCGATGGTCCTGCTGCAGGCCCTACCCTGGATGCCCACCCAGACTGTGCCCTGGTGCTGTGGGCAGGCGGCGAGCATGGGCCTGCACCTCTTCTGAGGGATGGACCCTGTGGGGCGGAAGCTGTATCTGGGTGGGGCTGGGCTGCAGAGACTCTGCTTCTATCTGTTACTGTTGATAAAAAGGTCCGCCTGCCACTGTGCTGTGTTGTGTCTCCGCCTGGCCACGGTCCCCACTCTGGGAGCAGGTTATGCACTAGGCCCTGCACACCTTCCCACTCTGCCCCACACCACCCCTGCAAGCATTCTTCCGGGTCCTGTAGGTGCACGCTGAGGCCTGCTGTGGCAGCCCCAGCCTCTGTGTGGAAGAGGCCACAGCCAGAATCAAGAAGCCTGGTACTTACCACACTCTCTGGAAACCTCTTAGCTCTTTGCTTCCTCAAGGGGAGCAGCGTGCTGCGGAGGGAGACTCCTCAGGGGCCAGGCTGGATGTGTCTGTGCTGGAGGCCCAGGGACTCTGGCCTGTAAAGGGAGGGGACTGTTTTCTTTGGGACTGCTGAGCCAGAGCCAGAGGGGTGAGGTGGGTATAAAGCTGGCGGCAGAAACCTCCCTGGGGGGAGGCGTCCCTGGTCCCTGGCATGCAGCCCTGACCAGGGGCCTGCTGCCAGCTTCCGCCTGGGCTGGCACAAGGGACAAGCAGTTGGCCACTCCAGCTCTAAACTGGCCAGGCACAGTGTCAGGGCGAGGGGGCCCTTAGGGGCCTTGAGTGGGTTGGCGGAGGGCACTGCCTGCCCATCTGCCCATCAGCCACCAGCGCTAGGTGGGGTGGGCTTGGGCCTCCCCTCCTTGTCTCTGTGCCTGGGGCTCATCAGGACAGCCCTGTATCCCTGGAGCCAGCCACTCTCAAGGCATGTGTGGTCAGAGGGGTGTCCTCCCAGGGCTGGGGGAGGGACGGGGGCAGGCATGGGGTGTTAAATTTAGTGTGGGGCAGTGCAGCTGCCACAGGCCCACCTGCTGCCGCTTGGGGCCCGCTGCCAGGGGCAGGAGGGGCTGGCCCTGCCTGGGGCTCGGCCCCTATTAACCTGTGCTCCGACTGGAGGCAGAGGAGAGGCCTGCATGCTAAGAGGCCACAGTGGCAGTGGAGCTGAGAAATTTGAGGTGAGAGACTGCGGGCAGGGACAGCTGCCCCGGGCTTCCCTCCCAGCCAGCAGGGGACCAGCAGGACCAGAGGGAGCCGAGGCTCCCCCTCCAGCCCAACCAGCCACCCACAACCCAGCTCAGAGGGCCAGCTCCCTGACCCTCAGCCCAGACTCAGAAGCCAGCAGGCAGCCACCAGGGAGGCCACCCCTGGGCATGGTCTATCAGCATCTGGCAGGCCTGCGGAGGTGGGGCCCTGAGGGCCTATCCCGGCTCGGCTCGCTTCCCACTCTACCCACCAATCAGGGGCAATTGGGACTGGAAGCTCAGGTCACCCCCCTCAACCCAGGCCCCAGGGTGTGGCCTCAAGGGCAGTCCCAGGTCTGGTGCATGGTGAAAGGGCAGGACAACCTTCTGCGCAGCTGAGGCATCAGGAGGACCCAGGGCTGCCCTTCCCCGTCCCCAGCCTCCTCGCCAGCACTACAATGGAGCCTTGAAGCCTCTGATCCAGGGACCCAGGTCCAACCACAGGGCCTTTGTAGTGTTCAGGCTGCAGCCACAAGGCCGGGAGGGGTGGATGGAACCCAGTGTCTGAATACCTCACTCCCTCAATGCCCCCCATGATTCCTGAGGCCTGGCTCAGTTACCTAGGAGACAGGTCTGCTAGCCCAAGCATAGATGGGGGGCCCAAGAGGGCTAGGCTCGGCCGATCGCTGCTGGGGTAAATTTCCGGGGAACCTAGGAGCCCTAGGTTCCCTTCTCACCACAGCAGTGCACCCTGTCCCCACGCTATCTCTTCCCCGTTCACCCCTGCCCAGCTCTGCCAGCCCCTCAGGCCTCCCTGGGCCCAGGCGACCTCCATCTTCCCAGGCACTCAGCTTCTCAGATTTTCCCAAACGGTACCATCCCTGATCATCTGTCTGTCCCAACCCCCCACTGTGGGTCTCCTGCTTCCCTGCCATGGGGACACTGGGCGGGCACCCGGCCTCGACCCAAGCCCCGCCTGCATCCTCACCCACTCCCTCTGGCTCCCTGGAGCAGAACTGTGCCCAGGCGGGTAGGGCGGGGCCAGGCCGGCCCAGCTTCCTCCTCAGCGCTTTCTCTCTCTCTCAGTGGGTTAGCAAGCTGCAGCAAAAAAGGGCACGCTCCTACTCCGGCTTCTCTAGCCAGGCTCCCCTTCCCAGCCCAGCCCCCACCCCCACTGGTGGATCTCGAGGCTGCCTCCTGAGCCTCTCTCCTGCCTGGCCTGAAGACAGGTGACCAGGGCCAGGCTGCAATGAACGGGCTGAAGGAGAAGGTGCTGACGCTGGACACCATGAACCAGTGCGTGCGCAGGGTGGAGTATGCGGTGCGTGGCCCCATCATGCTTCGTGCCCTGGAGCTGGAGCAGGAGCTGCGCCAGGTATGGCCCTGGGCCCACTGCTGCTCTTCAGTCTACACCTGGGCAGCTGGGTCTGCCCCCAGCTCTACGGCAGGTGGGACCAGAGGAGGGTAAGGCCAAGGAGTTTCACTGCCCTCTTTCCACCCAGGGCGTAAAGAAACCCTTCACCGAGGTCATCCGTGCCAACATCGGGGACGCGCAGGCCATGGGGCAGAAGCCCATCACCTTCATGCGCCAGGTGAGGCTCCAAGGTCCCAGAGCTCCTCCGGCTCAGCCCTCCCGCCCCCACCTCACACTTGGTCCTCCCAGGTCCTGGCCCTCTGTGTCGACCCTGAGCTTCTGAGCAGCTCCCACTTCCCCGAGGATGCCAAGAGAAGGGCAGAGCGCATTTTGCAAGCCTGCGGGGGCCACAGCCTGGGTCAGTTCCCGGTGCTCAGACGCGGCCCAAGCCCCAGGGAGGGCAGGAACTGGAGAGAGGCGGTCTCAGGGGAGGGGTGGACCTGCCCATTGGAGGGGGCGGACCCTTCGAGAGGACTGTGGGGGACCTGTCCTCCTCACGCTCCCTTTCTTGTCCTGCCCTCCCGGAGCCTAGGGGCCTACAGCGTCAGCTCGGGCATCCAGCTGATCCGCGAGGACGTGGCGCGGTACATCGAGCGGCGCGACGGAGGCATCCCCTCGAACCCCAACAACATCTTCCTGTCTACAGGGGCCAGCGACGCCATCGTGGTAGGCCGGGATCAGGGCAGTAGGGCACAGTGACCTTTTGCTTGCGGCCGGGTGGCTGGGCAGAGAGACCAGCAGTCCCTGGGGCAGCCTGGGCCCCCGCCCCCGCAAACCCCGCCGTCCCCGTCCCGCCGCAGACGGTGCTGAAGTTGCTGGTGGCTGGCGAGGGCCGCGCGCGCACGGGCGTGCTCATCCCCATCCCACAGTACCCGCTCTACTCGGCCACGCTGGCCGAGCTCAACGCCGTGCAAGTCAACTACTACTTGGACGAGGAACACGCCTGGGCGCTAGACGTGGGCGAGCTGAGGCGAGCGCTTCACCAGGCGCGCGACCGATGTCGCCCGCGCGCGCTCTGCGTCATCAACCCCGGTAACCCCACAGGTGCGCCGCCCCGCCCCGCGACGCTGCCTCCCCTGGCGCGGCCCCACCCCGCCCCCATTCCCTTCAGGAGCAGTGCGCGCCTTCGGCTGACCTGGTCGTGCTGCGCCCCCCCGCGCCCCCAGGGCAGGTGCAGACCCGCGAGTGCATCGAAGCCGTGATCCGCCTCGCCTTTGAGGAGCGCCTATTCCTGCTGGCTGACGAGGTACCGGCCAGGGCGCGCGGTAGCCTGGGAGCGCGCGGGGTGAGGGGAGGGGAGGAGCGCGCAGCAGCGCCTTGACAATCCGGCCGCCCGCCTCCCCAGGTGTACCAGGACAACGTGTACGCCGAGGGCTCGCAGTTCCACTCGTTCAAGAAGGTGCTTACGGAGATGGGGCCGCCGTACGCTGCTCAGCAGGAGCTCGCCTCCTTCCACTCCGCTTCCAAGGGCTACATGGGCGAGTACGTGTGGGACGGGGGCTCGCGGACCCCGGCGTGGCCGGACCCACCTGTCCTGCCGAGCCAGCCCCTTTTCCCCGGCCCGCCCTCGACGGCCACCTCGCCCTGGCAGGTGTGGGTTTCGCGGCGGCTACGTGGAGGTAGTGAACATGGATGCTGCGGTGCAGCAGCAGATGCTGAAGCTGATGAGCGTGCGGCTGTGCCCGCCTGTGCCTGGCCAAGCCCTGCTCCACGCGGTGGTCAGCCCGCCCGGGCCCTCCGATCCCTCCTTTGCTCAGTTCCAGGCGGTGAGCTGGCGGGGGGTAAAGGGGGCGGGTAAGGGAGGTGGGAACTGTGGAGGGGGCGGGGAGAGGACGGGGTGAGGTGGGACGAGGACAGGAGAAAGCGTGGCCTGGGGCGAGAGGTATAGGGCGTGGCCTGACGGCCGGGCCAAGGGTGAGAGGGGGCGGGGCCTGGAGACCTGGATATGGGAGGGGCGAGAAGAGAGCGGGGCCAGTGGGCAGTGCAGGCGGAGAAGGCCTACGCGGGGTGGGAACTGGGCGGGAATGGGGGCGGGAACAGACAGTGTCCGCGCCCTCCGGCGGTTCTCACCGTTCTTCCCTCTTGCGGTGACCTCAGGAGAAGCAGGCGGTGCTGGCCGAACTGGCGGCCAAGGCCAAGCTCACAGAGCAAATCTTCAGCAAGACTCCCGGCATCCGCTGTAACCCGGTGCAGGGCGCCATGTACTCCTTCCCCCGCATGCACCTGCCCCCGCGCGCCGTGCAGCGCGCGCAGGTCAGGCGGGTCCCGGGTTTGGGGGCGGGGCCCGATGGGGCGGGGTAGTGGACAAGTCCCTGCCCGCCCGCCTGCCCTGACTGGCCCGGTCCCCAGGAGCTGGGCCTGGCCCCGGATATGTTCTTCTGCATGCGCCTGCTGGAGGAGACCGGCATCTGCGTGGTGCCCGGGAGCGGCTTCGGGCAGCGGGAAGGCACCTACCACTTCCGGTGAGGCCTAGCTTGCACAGCACCCTGCCCGCAGCCAGCCCCTTCCGCTTACCATCCCCCGTTTTTTAGGATGACCATTCTGCCCCCCATGGAGAAGCTGCGGCCCCTGCTGGAGAAGCTGAGCCAGTTCCACGCCAAGTTCACCCTCGAGTACTCCTGAGGCCGTCCGGGGGCCGCGCAGGCCAGGCTGGGCCAGCAGGGCCACCTTGGGAGTCACCGTGCCCAGGACCCTGGGGGTCTTTGGGGCCCTCTGGACTTGCTCTTGTTGCCTGGGGGCTGCGCCCCTGCCTGTCTGCAGGCTCCTAATAAAGCTGGGAGACAGCCTGACTCCCTGGGGCTTCCTGGAGGCTCTGCTTGCGACCCTGGCCTTCTCAACTCCTAACCGCCTTTCCATGCCAATTCTGTGCAGGCCTGGGGACCCAGCCCTGAGTGGACAGTCTTGGTGCCTTTGGGGGGCAGCAGATTCTGGTGGGAGGAGGATCCAGGATCCAGACGGGCTCCCAGAGGAGGCGACCTCCTTGGGTCTGTTCCTCCTGCCAAGGCCAGTGCCTCCTGGGTGGGATCTTCATGTGGTAGAGACAGACACAAATTCTAATAAGAATGAAGACATGAAGGCAGGCACCTCGGGGGGAGACTCCAGAGCTGTTAGGTGAGGGGGTATGGCTCGTCAAAGAATCGCAGGAGCAGGGGGCCCAGGGTAGCCACGTCAGAAAAAGTAGCCTTTTCTGAAGAAGACACAGAAAGGGGGGTCCCCCGTCCTGGCCCCCACTCCCGGACTGTCTGCCTCTTCCCTAGCAGCACAGGGGACATGTTAAGCCATAAGAAGCTGGCTGAACAGTGACCCTCAGGGCACAGAGTGACAGTGAGGGCTCAAAGGTGAAGTCTTGGTTTTCCTCTTGGCCGGCAGTCGGGCGTGGTGCCCCTTGTCTTGGCCATCTAGTGCTGCTCTAACAGAAATACCACAAGTGGATGGCTTTAACAAAGAAATTTAGTCCCTCACAGTCTAGTAGGCTCCAAGTCCAAATTCAGGGCATCAGCTCCAGAGGAAGGCTTTCTCTCTCTGTCGGCTCTGGAGGAAGGTCCTTGTGATGCATCAATCTTCCCTTGATCTGGGAGCATCTCAGTGCAGGAACCTCAGGCCCAAAGGGCACAGTCTGCTCTCGGCACTGCTTTGTTGGTGGTATGAGGTCCCCCATGTCTCTCTGCTTGCTTCTTTCTTTTATATCTCAAAAGAGATTGGCTTAAGACACTATCTAATCTCGTATATCTCATCAATGTAACCGCCGCCAATCCATCTTATTACATCGTAGAGACAGAATATACAACATGTAGGGAAATCACATCAGATTACAGAATGGTACACAATCATGCAATACTGGGATTCATGACCTAGACAAGTTGACAGATGTGTTTTGGGGACACAGTTCAATCCATGACACCCCTACTAGGGGCCACTGGGGGAGCAGAAGGGAGGGAGTGAATGGAGTGTTGGGTTTGAAGTGTATGATGTGTGTTTGTATGACATACAAGTATAAATACAGTCCTTTGGTGGGGAGGGACTGGGGGTCAGGGAGAGAGGGCAGAGGTCCAAAGCTTGAGTGAGCTCTGGAAGGGGAATGCAGAGGGAAGGTTTGAAGACAACACTGCTGGGGGTCACTTGCTTCATCTACAGAAACAGTTCTCTGAGGTTGGGCTGGTAATTTCATAGATGAGGAAATTTAAGCTCTAAGAGTATGTTGCCAGTAACTGGAAACCAGCTCACAATGGCTTCAGCAGCAGAGGGCATGCATTGACTCACTTGTTAGCCTCAAGTTGGCCCAGGGGTTGGGCCAGCTTCAGGGGCCCGAAGACTTGGAGACAGGACCTGCCGAGGCACCTAGGCATGCCACCTGGACACTGGAGGGCATTGAGGGCAGCATCTGTGTCCTGGCTGAACCCTGGGCCCAGACCTTTCATACAAAGCCCCTGCCTTCCAAGGTCCTCTGCAGCCACAAGCAAGGTGGTTGTGGTGGGGGAATCCAGTGGTGGAAGTATCCAGAACTAGACAGTGGCAGTGAAGAGGCTCACCTCCGCCTCCATGGGGGTTCCTGCAGGGACCGGTGCCAGGGCCTGCAGCAACCAAGCCCCAGATCAGACTGACACCAAGAAGTACCACTGGAGAGTTAGGGTCCCTCCAGCTCACAGGGAGCCTGGGGGACCCAGTCTGATAACCCTGGCTAGGGACTAGGGCTGGTGACCACTGTGAGGAGAGGATGGGGCCGCGGGTACAGGCTGATTCCTACGTTCGGTTCCTCTGAAGTTTCCCTCTGAGCCTCTCGCATTTTCGGACGATTTCAGTGTATCTGCGTGTGTGAGACAGAGGTCCCGGGAGCTCAGCCTGGAGCCCTTACCCAGGTTTACCACCAGAGGCGCCAGAGAGCGGGCGAGCCGACGCTCTAGCTGCGCTCCAGTTGTCTATTACCACGGCGCAATTTCCCGACGCTTCCGGGCGGGCTTCCGGCGCCGGAATCGCTTGGACTGTTGGTCCCGCGTTCTGGTCCGTGTTCTGCAGAACTAGGAGGGTGCTAGAGGACGGGCCGCGGCAGAGCGGGCGGTGCGGGACGCGGGGTGAAGGGGAAGCAGGCGTCCCCTTCCTGGGCGCTTTACTTGCAGCCACGCGAAGCATGCCTGGAGCCTGAGGCCTGCTTTCTTACCGGAAGCCCCTCTCGTGTCGGGAGTACCCATCCCTGGTTGGAGGGATCTCTCTCGCCACAATTTGGACCCAGCTTCTGTTCTTCTGGGGCATTGACACCCCCAGGACCGGAGGGCGCGCGTCCTGACCCCATCTGTCCAACGCTGACCCCCTCCCAAAGTCTAAGCCTAAGTGTGACCTCTGACCCTATCCTGACCGGAACATACTTTGTTAGGCCCCACATGGAACCTGATTTGCCCTCACCCCGACTGTGATCTCTGGCCCCACTCAGACGGCGCCTTGGACCCAGCCGGACCGCCATGGACTCACACCCCACCTTGCCGCTGCCTTGGATCCTCTGCTGGTGCCAGCCATGCGCGGAAAGCTGTTGTTGATGGCCGGTCTCTACCTGGTGCAGGGCCTGCCCTACGGGCTGCAGTCCGGCCTGCTGCCCGTGCTGCTGCGGGCCCGTGGCCTCTCATTGACGCGCGTGGGTCTGGCCAAGGGGCTGTATGCGCCGTGGCTGTTCAAGCTGGTGTGGGCCCCACTAGTGGACACAAGAGGCTCCCCACGGGTCTGGTTGGCGCTCAGTACGGCTGCACTGGGTGTGGTGTGTGGGTTGCTGGCCTCACTGCCTCCAGCTGAGGAAGGCCAGGTCGGGCTGCCCACCATCACGGCTGTGTTGCTCCTGCTGCTAAACCTGGGAGCAGCCGTGCAGGATGTGGCCCTGGACACGCTGGCTGTGCAGCTCCTGGAGCCAGCCGAGCTGGGCCCTGGCAACACAGTGCAGGTGGTTGCCTACAAGCTGGGAGCGGCACTGGCGGGGGGTGGGCTGCTGGCCCTAGTGCCCACTCTCTCCTGGCCCCTGCTCTTCCTGCTTATGGCTGTCACCTATTTGCTAGCTGCTGCACTGGCCTGGGCCTCACCAGCCCTGGAGCTGCTGCCACAGCCGCAGCCCTCAGAGGCAGCTCCACGTCCTGGGCACCACCTGCAGGCCCTGTTGGCTGTGCCTGGGACCCTGTGGACAGCCGGCTTCGTGCTTACCTACAAGCTGGGTGAGTGAGGCCTCGAGCAAGGTGACACAGGGTTGGGACCTGGGGGCAGCTAAGGTGGGTCCCCAGGATCCCTGGCACCCACCTGTGGGGCTGCCCTCCCCCCAGCTCTTGGGGTGCAACCCGTGGGCCAAGCCCAGGACTCTGCAGCTGAGCCTCATCCCTCCTCCGTTCCTCAGCCCCAGGTCTCGCCGGGGCTGCTTTGTGCCAACCCTGAGCACGAAGCCCCGTTTTCTTCCATGGTATCTGCCTGCTGCGGCCGGTGCCTGAACCCAGGAGAGAGAGAGAGAGAGGCAGGGCAGGGACCTGGCTAGGCAGAACAAGAATGGAGCCCCTGGCGGGGAGTGGGGGTGGGGGCAGGCTTGGGGGTACTCCATCACCCTCTACCCCTCAGGTGAGCAAGGCGCTGGCAGCCTATTCCCACTCCTCCTGCTGGACCGTGGCGCCTCTGCCCCGGAGCTGGGGCTGTGGAATGGCATGGGTGCAGTGGCCTGTTCCATCGCTGGCTCCTCACTGGGCGGGGCCCTGCTGGCCAGGCACCGGTAAGCCCCCCGCAACTCCCTGCACCTCCGACCTGCCAACCCTCACCATTCCCGGCATCCTCTGACCTGTCAAATCCCCCACCCCACTTCCAGGCAGCCACTTCCCCTCCTGAGGCCAGTGTTGCAGCTCCGCCTGGTGGGCCTTGCCTGCCAAACTGCCCTGCTCTTCCGCCTGGACGCCCTGGGGACGGGTGTGGGTCTTGGCACAGTCCTGAAAGGTGAGGGCCAACTGGGGGGGGGGGCGGGGAACACCCGGAGCCCTGGGCCCCGCTGATCTCTGCCATCCCTCACAGGGGTGTCTTTGTTGAGCCTGTGTTTGCAGCACTTCCTGGGGGGCCTGGTCACCACTGTCACGTTCACTGTGATGATGCGCTGTAGCCAGCTCGCACATAGTGCTTTGCAGGTGAGGGGCGTGGTGGGGCTGGGGTGGGGGCTGCAGGCTGGATGACCCCAAGCTCTGATCCCCTTTCCCACAGGCCACGCACTATAGCCTCCTGGCTACCCTGGAGCTGCTGGGGAAGCTGCTGCTGGGCACGCTGGCTGGCGTGCTGGCTGACAGCCTGGGGCTGCGGCCCTGCTTCTCCCTCTTCCTGGCTCTGTCGGCTGTGCCCACCCTCTACCTGGGCCTGGCGCCCAGCTCCTTGGCCCGATAGCCAATAAAAAACAAGTGTGCGGGGGCTTGGCTGTGTGGATGACATGCAAAGCTGCTGCTGGAAAGGAGGGTTCTGAAAATAGTCAAGTTTCTTTTATTCTGCGTTCAGGGCCCCTGCCCCCACACCTCTGCTGGTGGGCTTTGCCCAGGGTGGTCAGTCGCCGCCCCGGCCGCCACTACCCCCATGGGTGCCTGAGTGCAGCAGGCGGTCAGCGGCCCCGCAGCAGCAGCTCCTCTGTGGCCAGGCGCATCAGGGCATGGAAGCTCACGTGTAGGTACCTCCTCCAGAAGCGCCTGTCCCGCCCGTACACCTGGGCTGGATAGCAGGGGCTTCCTGCAGCCAACAGGAGGGCAGAGGGGCTGTGAGGGGTCTCAGCCAGTTGTGGCCCTCAGCCCCTGCCATGCCAGGGCCAGGCCCCCAGCCCCTCACCAATGCCGTGAAAGATGCGGGCCACAGCCCTGCCTGAGAACTTCTCCTCTGGCCGCAGGGCCAGGAGCTGGCGGATGTCTCGGCGGATCTGGTCCTCCCAGTCCTGGAGCTGGGGTGGGAGTGGGTGAGAAGCCATCCCTGAAATCCTACAGCACCGTGCGCCCACGTGCTGGGAGCACCTGGGGGCCTCACTGCTGACTGCAGTCACCTCAGATTCCACTTGCTGGGGAGGTTGCGGGGGGCCTGCCACGGTATCAGGCAGAGGCTGCTGTACACGTGTGTGCATGTCTTTGTCCTCACCTCTGCTAAGCCAGATCCCCTCAGTAACCCCATTCTGCGCTGGGGGCGCTGGCACTCACTCTGGCCTGCCCGGGCTCTGGGCTCTCTTTGTCGTCCATGTTCTCTGGCCTCAGTGTCTCCTCCTCTTCTCCCTCAAAGTAGCCCCTGAGCAGGGCCTTGAGCCGGGTGCTGCGCTCCTCGTCGGGCTGATCCAGGCAGGGCCCGCAGCTGAGGAAGGCCACGCTGGGGGGAAGGAGCCTGTCAGTGCTGCCCAGCCTGGGGGTGGGGACAGGCTGGGGGCAAGGACCAAGTACAAGGACGGGCAGCCCGGGCCCTGCCCCCCAACACCTGTGGAAGGCCCGGAAGGTGCGGCGCAGGTGGGCCAGGGCCTCCCGCTCTCGTGCCTGCACGCGGCTGTGCAGGAACTCGCAGAGCTGGTCCTTCTCCTCGGCGGTCGGGTCCCTGGGGCAGCGCAGCTGGAAGGCCAGCTCCCTGAACTCCACGAGCACCCCCGTGCCCTGCGGCGCCCCTGCCCCGGGACTTTGGTCCCACTTCAGTTGGCGCAGGGCCCGCCGCACGGGGGCCAGCTCCCAGCCCATGGAGTCGGCCAGCTGGACCACATCGAACTCCACGGAGCTGCTGCCGTCACCTGTGTCTTCGGGTGGCTGCCGGGCCAGGCATGCTGCCAGAGGGGGACACCTGTGCCCAGGGTGGGGAGGGACACGTGATCACCAGCCCCCACCCTCTTGTCCCCACCCTTAGGCGCGGGCATATGCTCACCCGAGGGCCAGGGCGCCGAGCTGAGCAGTGCCCCCGGGGCAGTGTAGGTGGCAGCGGGCGTAGGTGGGCACCAGCAGCTCCAGCCAGCGCTGTGGATGCAGCTCCAGGTAGCACAGCAGGGTCTCGATGGCTGGTGGCAGAGCGGGGTCAGGGGACGCAGGGGTGTGGGGACAGCCCTACCCCCCCAGCCCAGGTCCTCACCCTCCTGGGGCATGTCCAGGGCCTGCTCTGTCGGCTGCACAAGGAGGGCCCTTGTGTGGCCCAGGCAGGCTCTCCCTGGCGCAGGGGCTGTGTCCTGGCTGCTGTGCCGCCCAGTCTCTTGTGGGATCCCAGCCTGCCGCTCTCCACTCCCACCGCCCTCCAGGGACGGGCAGGCACAGGAGCAGGGGAGGAACACGCTCTGCACCAGCTTCTTCACGGCAAGGAAGTCCACGGCGTTGGCGTGCACGTGTCTGCGCAGTTCCTGCAGGTCCTCACCCTGCGTAGAGCGTCGTCAGGGGGACAGCACGAGAGGCGTGCCGTGCGGGGGAGGGTGCAGCGGCAGTGGCACCTACCTGGGGCCGCAGGAAGAGGTGGCAGTGGGCAGGCCGCCCGTCGCGCCCCGCCCGGCCCACGGCCTGCACGTAGCTCTCGAAGCTTGGGGGCAGCCCCAGGTGCAGCACGGCCCGCACGTCCGGCCGGTCCAGCCCCATACCGAAGGCCACCGTGGCCACCACCACGCGCAGCCGGCCGCACATGAAGGCCCGCTGCACCCGTTGCCGCTCCCGGCCGCACAAGCCAGCGTGATACGCTTCGGCCAGAGCCTGGAGGGCGCCACCTGGGGACACAGACAGATGGTGGGGCGGGGCTGGCGTTGGGGGCCGCGAGTGGGTCGGCGTGCACCTGAGGCTCACCTCCGGGGCCTGGGGTCTCGCGCAGGCAGGTGCGGAGGAGGGCGGCGACGCGTTCCGTGTCCTCCCTCCGGTTGCAGTAGATGATGATGGAGTCCAGGCCGCAGAACCGTTCCCCTTGCAACAGTGTGACCAGGGCCTGGGGGAGGGTAGTCAGCGTGGGAGGCGGGCAGGGGCTGGGGAGGGGGGCACCCCGGGCCCGCACAGCTCTACCTTCTCAGGGTCTCTGTCCATGGATACAGAGAGGTGCAGGTTGGCGGGGATGGTGGCCGGGAGCCTGCCGGGGCCTGGCCCTTCGGCCACACCCAGATGCCGGGCCACGTCGAGGGCGGTGCTGCGTGGGGCGGTGGCTGTAAGGCCCAGGAAGCAGCGCACACCCAGGTGTTCCCGTAGCACCTGCGGAGCAGAGGGATGAGGGTGCTGCCCATCCAGCCCTCCCTCGTCCCCCTTCCCTGGCAGGCAGCCTCACTTTGCACACGCGCAGGTAGCAGGGCCGGAAGTTGTGAGACCACTGCGAGAGGCAGTGCACCTCGTCGATGCAGGCGAAGGCCACTGGCGGCAGCTGAGAGGCTGGGGGCAGGCGGGCAGAGCCCCCCGCTCCAGCCCCCACCAGCGCCTCAGGTGACAGCATCAGCACATGGACCTGGGCTGCCCGAACCTGGAGAGGCGGAACCAGAGACAGGATGGAGGCAGAGCCCAGGTGTCCCCACCACCCACCTCCCCTGAGACCAGGCCCCTCACCTTCCGTAGGACGCCCTCCCGCTGCTTCCTGTTCATGCCCGAGTGGAGACAGGTGACCTTCAGACCTGGAGGGAGGCCTGATACCTGCAGGCAGGAGCCCACCCGTCATGGCCCATCTGCCACTCAGATCCTTCCTCAGATGCCTTTTCTGGGGACAGAAGACTTGGACCAGGACTGTGTGGGCAGGATTTGGCCCACCCTATCTGCTCACAGGCCACAGAGCTGGGGGGGCGAGGGCAGCCAGGCTCCTCACAGACTGGGGTGGGTAGGAAGCAGCAGCCCCCGCACACCTGGTCGTCCATGAGTGCCAGGAGCGGGGAGATGACTATCGTGAAGCAGGGGCTGTGCTGGGCGTAGAGCAGCGCCGGGAGCTGGTAACACAAGGACTTGCCGGCGCCCGTGGGCAGCACCAACAGCGTGGAGATGCCTGGGGGGAAGAGGTGTCAGCAGGAGCCTCTGCCCACACAGCCCCCTGTGGCCCGCCCGGCCCTGCCCCGGGCTCACCTGACAAGATCCGCATAACAGCCTGCTCCTGCCCAGGGCGGAAGGCTCGGTGCCCCAGCTGCCCCAGAGCCTGGAACACCTCAGGCGGGGTTTCTGGGCACATAGGCATTGGGTCAGTGTGGTATACAGATCGTCCCCCTTTCCCCTTGAAGGCTCTGGGCTGCAGCATCCACTCACCTGCCACTTGACCCGAAGGTCCTGGTGGGTAGAGCGGGGACACCACGTTGGGTGGGTGGGACTCTGAGGTCCCCAGCAGCCTGGGCCTGGCAGGTCCAGCGTCCTCATGTGCTGGGGCAGATAACAGAGGAGATGGTGTATGACTCTGACTAGGTAAGGATCATCCTAGCAAGACAGTCGCTGCCTCTCTGCTGCGCCCTCCACTCACCAGGGAGTTTGCAGTGGGCACCACCTGTCTTCTGGGCCACTCCCTCCAGTGTGGGCAGGGGCCGTGTGCCCTCCTCGTCTCGGGCGTACTCCTCCTGTGCTGGGGCAGGCTCTGGGCCAGGGTGGGAGGCAGGTAGGGCTTGCTGCTTAGACCAAAAGTCTCTCCCCTCATAAAGAACACGGTGCCCCTCCAAGCCTGACCTGTCCTCCGGGTGGAACCCACCTGGTTGGGGGCACTGGGAGGCCCAATGGCCAAGCTGCCCACAGCGGAAACAGGAATTCTTGAATGTGGCTTTGGGCCGACCACCCCCAAAACACTCCCCTTTCTTCTGCCACTTCTGCCTCCACACCTGGGGGGCACAGGGACAGGTCACAAAGGCACAGATGGGAGGGGTGAGGGGCTCCCCTACCCAACTCACCTGCTTGCGGAGTCGAGTGCCCCGCAGGGCTGGGCCCCGCACGTAGCGTTTCTTCTTCAGGTTGAGCCTTACGTAATTGCCCCCTTCTGGGATGATGGGCCTAGGAGAGATGTCAGGGTGGGCTGTGCCCTCCCCACCTGGCTCAACTCAGAGATGACCCACCTGGTGGCCAAAGCCGGGTACCTGGGTGCGGTGGGGCCACTGTGGGGCCGAGGTGACTGCTCCTGCACAGGCTCCCCCAGCAGGTCTTTCTCAGGCTCTGTGGCCCCAACATCCTTAGGCCGGGGTCCCACGTGGCTGCCGTCCCACTGGGCCTGTGAAGGGGCCCCCTCGGTGTCCCCACTCCGTCTCTGCTTCTTGCTGGGCTGGAGGCTCCCTTCAGTATCACTTGCTCCCTGCAGCACTGGAGCTTCAGAACCACAGCAGGTGCCAGGGGCAGCCAGCATACCTGAGGTCAGGGGCTGTGACCCTCCTCCAGGGCCGCACAGCTCCTCTGCCCCCAGGCCAGGCCTGCAGGCCTCGGGAACCCCCAGCAAATCTGGGACCCCATCATGACATCGCTGCAGCCAGCCAGGGTCCAGGGAGCCCAGCCGCAGGCTCAGGGATGACTGCAGATGCTTGAGCCGGCCTGGCCTCGGCTGGGGCCCAGTGCGCTGGGTGGGTGCCTGGCAGAGTCCTGGAGAGGAGGGAGCGGCCCCTGTGTCTGGTGGCCCCAGGGCAGGTGTCTCAGACAAGGGTCTTCGTGGAGCCCGAGGTACGCGGCCCAGGGCTGGCTCAGCCTGGGAAGAGGGTACACCAGCAGACAGCTTAGGTCCTGGCTAGCAGATTTTGAAGGTTGCCCCAGGGACCCCACCTTCAGTGATTGGGCATAGGGAGGCTGGGACAGAAAGGAAGCTGAGGGCAGGGTCCGAGTGTGTGTGGGCAAGGCACGCGCGCCCCTCACCTGCAGGGTGCCCTTTAGATTGACCTTAAGTGTGTGTGTATGTGTGCGCGCGTGAGTGCAAACCATGCGCACCCCTCACCTGCAGGGTGTTCTTTAGATTGGCCTTAAGCCTCTTCCCGTAGTCCTGCATGGAACCCCGGGGTCTGGGCTCTGGGGTAGGGTGTGGAGTCTGCGTAGCAGCCCGATTCAGGTGAGGCCCCCAGCAGCTGGGCTCTGGCTCCTACAGGAGTAGATGGTGAGGGGCCCGGAACAGGAAGAGGCTGGGAAGCGCCGGCGACAGAGGACTGAAGTGTCCCCACCCCCTCCTCAACCCGCCCGAACCCCCTACCATCGAGTCGTCTCTGACTCACAACGAGCGACTCTACGAGAGAGTAGAATTGCCCCCATGTAATTTCGAAGGCTGTAAGTTTTTACGAAAGCAGTCTGTCACATTTTCCCGAGGAGCGGCTGGTGGGTTCCAACCGTTGACCTTTCGGCTAGCAGCCGAGTACTTTAACCACTGAGCCACCAGGGCTCCTACCCACTTCTCAGCGCCCCCAGGAACCCGCCCAGCCCTCCTCCCCATCCCCACCTGGGAGGATGATTGGAGAACGGGTACCTCCTGGTTCGCCGCGAGAGCAGATTGCTCAGGGCTGCGGTACCGGTCGCCGCCTGCCTGGCCCAAGACCTGCTTCAGCGCTCGGTACTCGCGGTAGAGCGCTGGGGGGGCAGAGTGGTCAGGGTCGGACCGGCCCACAGGCCCCGCCGCCCCGGCCCGGACCCGCGCTCACCCTGGGTCTCCTCGGACGCCGCGGCCACGTCTGCCTGTGGAGGGAGGGCATCAGTGCCAGCCAGCGCCCTCCGCCCGCCCCCACCCAGGGCAGCCCGCACTTGGCCCGGTCTTCGCCCGCGCTGTCGCCGAAACGCGCACTCCCACGCCTGCAGCCGAGCCCGCAGGTCCCGCAGCCGCTCCATTGCTCTTCCGCGGCCGAACCTCCCGCCGCCCGCGTCGGGCCGGCCAGCCAGTGGGGGCGCTGGGCGTGGGCGGGGAGGGGGCCTCAGCCAATCCGCGGGCCCTAGCAGGGCTGCCAATGGGAGGCGTAAACGTCATCGCGGCGCGCCGCGGCGCGCCGCGGAGCTGGGTGGGGCGCGCGGAAAGCTTGGCGGGGACCGCGGCGGTGGCGGCTGCTGAGGGGCCGGTAAGAGGAGGGCCGACAGGCTAGGGGACTGGGTGGTCGCGGGGGAGGGAACTGGGCGGCCCGCGACCACCAGCCTTGCCTGGTGCGCGAGCGGGGGGCGGGAGCTCGGGCCTGCCCCCACCAGGAGAGGCGGGGGCGTGCACTGGGTGCTCGGGGCCGGGGGTGGGAGCCAGGCAGGGCCCCGCGGGGTAGGGGTGGACCCGGGGCGACCCGCGCGGGGTCAGGCGGCCTCGGGTCTTTGCAGGGCAACGCAGCCTGGTCCACGGAGCAGGCCCCACTCGGGCGGGCGCAGCGAGTACAGCAGAGGGGCGTCGATGCACCACCCCCCGAGGCTCGAGGCCGGGAGGAGCCGGCGGGGGCGTCTTCAGGAAACGCAGGAATCACGGAGCGAGGTGTTCTCCTGCCGATCGGCGGGAGGGAGCGGGACGGTTGCGCAGGAGGCTCCTCCCACAGTGGCCGGCCTCGCTGCTTTTGTTGCCTCCCGTGACAGATGTTCGTTCGGTCTGTCTTGTTGGAGTGGGGTATGAATCGTTCTCACGAGATTTGTTTACAGGTTGGTGTCTGAGGTTTCTCGGCAACCAGCGGTTTAAGTACTAACTTGTGTGGGAGAAAACAGTAAGAGCAGGGGCCCTGGTGCCGGACGGCCCCCCTCGGGCAAGGGCTAGGTTTTAGCTTTCTCATCTTTTGGACGACTGTGATGACCCTCGCTTTTTTGCAGTTTTGAGCACGAGATGCCTGACGCACCGTAAATCCGCTAACTGTTGTGCATCTCCTCCCATCGGCTGCCAAGTCTGTAGTTGCCTCTGTCCTATCTGAGTAATGTCCAGTCTGGGGCCTTCCAAATCTTGTGGGTTTGAGACTTGGACTCTCAGTGTTGATTCCCAAGGGGAAAGAAGATGTGTAGACATGTGGCAAGGACTGGGAGTGGGGGGGAGTGGCTGGGGCGTGGCTTCTCTCTTTCTGTGGGCCTCCAGGGGTTTCCATGCCTGTCGCTGCCCCAGATGTCCGTGGTTATGGCTGGGGCTGGTGTTGAGGGCTTGGGTTTATACTGGTTGTTTGCCCGCTCAGTTTTCTGTCTGTCAGGTTTTTATTAAGCTGCCTTTGTGTCCTCCCGGGCCCTCTCTGTTGCTTTGTGCAGGATCCAAGGGTGGCCTGCTGGAGCTCCTGTGAGGGGTGAGGGAGGCAGCCATTGGTCCTGGGAGTGTCCTACCCCTTCCAGCATTGATGAGCATGCATGTATTCCTGTGGTGGGATGTGCGATCTGGGTTTTGTTCTATTTTGAGGAAGGAAAGTCTCTTGAGAAATGATTTCGTGATTTAAAACCATTGGAGGTCTGGATGGTGGGATCTGGGGAGCGGCGATCACTTGTCAAAGGCATGACAGAAGCAGGCAGGTTGTCGCTTGTGCTATTTATGCACCTCACTGCCATTCTGTTTCCTTTAAGAAGCCCCATATTCCAGAGAGGAGGGACTGGGGTGTGGCTTTGTCCCCTTTCTGCTCCCCCCCACTCACTGCTGGTTTGTGTAGCAGCCTCCACCCAGCAGCAACTCCGTGCTGGGCACCTTGCTGGGCATTTCTTCCACCAGTGCGTGGAGTGGCTGGGGTCTGCCCTCCCCTGAACACCCTTCTCCTGCAGGTAGCCGCCTGCCCGGCCCAGCGCCATGCACACGTTGGTGTTCCTGAGCACGCGGCAGGTGCTCCAGTGCCAGCCAGCTGCCTGCCGGGCCCTGCCCCTGCTGCCACGTGAGCTTTTCCCGCTGCTGTTCAAGGTGGCCTTCATGGACAAGAAGACAGCCGTGCTGCGTGAGCTGGTGCACACGTGGCCCTTTCCTCTACTCAGCTTCCAGCAGCTGCTGCAGGAGTGTGCCCACTGTAGCCGTGCCCTGCTGCAGGAGCGGCCCAGCACAGAGAGCGTGCAGGCCGTGATCCTGGGGCTCACTGCCCGGCTCCACACACCGGAGGCCGAGGCTGATGCTGGCACACAGCCCCTCTGCAGGTACAGAACCACCTGAGGAGTTCTCAGGCTGTGACAGGTGGGGCTAGGGGTGCAAAGAGGGTCTTCTGAGAAGGTTCAAGGCTGGGGTTCTGAGGCTCGTGAGAGCTTGGTGCAGGAGCAGGCCCATTGCTCCTGTCTCAAGGTGGCTGGGTGAGAAGGGTAGGCCCCTGTGCCCACCCCCCCCTCAGAGCCCCCTCCCCCCAGGAAGCACGTTCTGCGTGTGCTGGACATGACGGGCCTTCTGGATGATGGTGTGGAGCAGGATCCTGGCACCATGAGCATGTGGGACTGCACTGCAGCCGTGGCCCGCACCTGCATTGCCCAGCAGCAGGGGGCCGCTGTGGAGCCGGGGCCGGCGCCCACCCCTGTGGAGGTTCGTGTGGACCTGCGCGTGAACCGGGCCTCTTATGCCTTCCTACGGGAGGCGCTCCGAAGCAGTGTGGGCAGCCCGCTGCGTCTCTGCTGTCGCGATCTGCGGGCTGAGGACCTGCCCATGCGCAACACGGTGGCCCTGCTACAGCTCTTGGATGCGGGCTGCCTTCGCCGCGTGGACCTGCGCTTCAACAACCTGGGCCTGCGTGGCCTGTCAGTCATCATCCCACATGTGGCCCGCTTCCAGCACCTGGCCAGCCTGCGGCTGCACTACGTGCATGGAGACTCACGGCAGCCCTCTGTGGATGGCGAGGACAACTTCCGCTACTTCCTGGCCCAGATGGGGCGCTTCACCTGTCTGCGGGAGCTCAGCGTGGGCTCCTCTCTGCTCTCGGGGCGGCTGGACCAGCTGCTCAGGTGAGACGGCCCCTCCCCTGCAGAGCCCTGTACAGCCTCGCATGGAGGTGACCCCTACCTCTTTGTCCCCTGCAGCACCCTGCAGAGCCCCCTGGAGAGCCTGGAGCTGGCCTTTTGTGCCCTGCTGCCCGAGGACCTGCGCTTCCTGGCCCGGAGTCCCCATGCTGCGCACCTCAAGAAGCTGGACCTGAGCGGCAATGACCTGTCTGGGAACCAGCTGGTGCCCTTCCAGGGCCTCCTGGAGGCGGCAGCAGCCACACTGCTGCACCTGGAGCTGACGGAGTGCCAGCTGGCTGACACCCAGCTGCTAGCCACGCTGCCTGCCCTGACTCACTGTGTGGGCCTCCGCTACCTTGGCCTCTATGGCAACCCGCTGTCCATGGCAGGCCTCAAGGAGCTGCTGCGGGACTCGGCAGCACAGGCTGAGCTGCGCACTGTAGTGCACCCCTTCCCTGTGGACTGCTATGAGGGCCTGCCCTGGCCACCGCCTGCCTCCGTCTTGCTGGAGGCCTCTATCAATGAGGAGAAGTTTGCCCGCGTGGAGGCTGAGCTGCACCAGCTGCTTCTGGCCTCGGGCCGTGCTCATGTGCTCTGGACCACAGACATCTACGGGCGCCTGGCCGCGGATTACTTCAGCCTGTGACTGCCGGATTCTGGTCCAGGTGGCTGTCCTGAGATCCAGGGCAGGCACAGCTGTTGCTGGGACCTTGCTGAGGTCTCCAGGACCCACTCAAAGGCACTTGTCTCAGGTCTCCTCCACGTTCCTGCTTCCCTTTCCACAGGCTCTGTCTCGCTCCTGTCCACGCCCGCGGCATGCCACACAGGGTGGCCCTGACCTGACCACCCATGGCCCCAAGGCTTGCAGCAACCCTGCTGGTTGGCTGCACTCGTTGGCCCTCCTGGGTTGTGGCCCTTTTCACAGAATACTCCTTGGATCCCAGCTGTAAACTTGCCAGGTTTTGTCTCTAGGTCTTTCCCGCCCCCTTCCCAAGAGCCAAGTGCCCTGGGGATGAAGTTGGGGGAGGCGTCTGTTCCAGGGTCTGGACTCTGGGTTCTCCCTGCTCCCCTCACCCGAGCACCCAGGACACTCCTGTCCTGCACCACCTCAGCCGGCCTTAGCAGTGGGGCCTGGGAGGAGGAATGTTAACAAGGTGGGAAACGTCCAGCGTGTTTGCAACTTGTATTTGTGGCTGTGTTGTTCTTATTAGCTGAGTGAGTCGTGCCATCCTGGCTCCCCTCTGGTCCCCAGCACGGCATTAGCTAACTTCTGCCATCCAGCCTCTTGTCACCACCCCTACCCCCGGCTTTCCCAGGAACCCCCTGCTCTGGCACCTGCCAGCCCTTGATCTTCGGTCCGGGAATCTCCACAGACGGGTCCGTCTACCTTGGGGTGGCCCCACAGCAGGACAGGGCGGGCAGGGGCCAGAGTTGAGACCCTCCAGAGCATGGGAGCTGGGCAGATCTTGGAAGGGTGAGTTCTAGGGGGCTCAGTGAAGTGTTTTGGGAGTCTCCCGGCCGCCCCTCCACCTCCAACTTCAGGAGTCAGGCAGTCTCTGCAAAGCCCCCCCGTCTGCTGTCCTGGATGCGGGGTAGGGGTGATCAGGTGGGCGGAGCGGGTTCCCCGGCCCGTGCATCCCCCGGCCCCTCACACACGGCTCGGCGCACACTGCGCAGCTTCCATCCTTTACTGACTCGCGCGCCGGAGCATGCGCGAGGTTGGGTCGGCCAATCCGCGGGGACTGCCGGCCACGTCATCAGCGCGCGCCCGCCCGCCCGCCGCCTCAGCAGCGGATCTCGTAGGCCACCGGCGGCGGGAACAGGAGGCCCTGGGCAGAGCCCGGCGCGGCGCCCTCGGTGGAGGCGCGGTCTGGAAGCGCCTCTGCTACCGGCCCTTCGGTGAAGAGGGGCTTGGAGCGGTCGATGACGAACATCTCGTGGCCCCGCTCGTCACGGAGCTCCTCGAGCTGGGCGAAGGTGCAGGGCCCGTCCGAATAGTCGTTGACGAAGAGCACGCTCTCCCCCGGCGGCCCCGCCGCCTTTTTCCGCTTGCGCCGCCTGCGGCAGATCATGGCCGCCAGCAGCAACGCCGTGAGCGCGAGCAGCGCGATGCCCGCCGCGATGGCCGTCTGCGTGGCCAGGCTCAGGGCGCGGAAGGCCATGCTGCCCGCCTCGTACAGGGGCTCGTGGCTGACCGGGCCGGCGGCCGGGGGCGGCGGGGGCGCCGGCAGCCGCTGTTGCTGAGACAGGTTGACCAGGAGCTGGAAAGGTACGCGGGCGGCGCCGCCGGCGTTGGAGGCCTCGCACTCGTACTTGCCCGCGTGTGCCAAGGTGATGTTAGTGAGGAAGAGCATGCCGCTGCCCGTGTCCGGGGCTCCATGCCCGCCCAGGCCCGGCGCCCCGCCGTCGGCCTGGGCCTGGGCCTGAGGCCGCCGCTCGCGAGGCTGGCTGACCTTTCTCCAGGTGACCAGGGGCTGCGGGTAGCCAGAAGCCTGGCAGGCCACCCGCAGGTCCTCACCCAGATTGGCTGTGATCTCCAGCGGATCCACGTGCACGGAGGGCGGGATGCAGATGAGGCTACTGCCAGATACGTCCACGAGACTCTGAAGTGCCAGGCGAGGGGGCTCTGCGCACACTATCTTCTTATCCCTGGAGCTGAGCAGCCGCTGGCCCCCCTCCTTGATCCAGGTGCCCAACCAGTGCAGGGCACAGTCACAGCGCCATGGGTTCTCTGTGGGCAGAGCAGCGGTTGGGTGGGCTCAGGGGTAGCCCCAGAGCACAGCCTGTGCAGTTGGGGGTTTCTTGGCCAGGGCAAGAACTCTGCTTCTCCTCTTCCATCTCCCATAGCCTCCTCACATAGACTCCAGGAGCCTCGCCACCCCTTCTCAGACCTCACGCTCCTTGAGGTGGGCGCAGGCTCCTCACCTCCCCTGTGGCTCACTAACGCCACTTCAGACTATTCTCCAGTGATCTCTGAAAAAGTCACTGCTCCTCTGAAGTTCCTGGTCCCAGAGTCCCCCCGAGTCCTGCTATTTAGGGAACATCAGTGCCCACACAGACATCCCAGCCAGCACTTGTCACCTTGTCTCAGTCTGTCTTTCCAGTTCTTGCTTGCCTGCTCTCATGCCCCCAAACTTGGCAAGCCCCTCATCTCTGTCCAGTTGGCCTGTCGGACTCCCACCTTTCAGTCTTCCGTTAAGGAGTCCCTGAGCTGCTTTCCCGCAGCTCCTCCCCTCCAGGTGTGGTGTGGTCTTCCCTAGCGCTGCCTAACTAACGCTCTGTGGCCGTTGCTGCAAGAGCTCCACACCTGGGGCTGCTCCCTGCTGCCACCGCTGTGGCCAAACAGAGACCCTTGCCTGGGACCCCTGTGCCTGCAGAGGGAGGTACCTGTGAGACGCAGGACCTGGAGGCTGGCCAGGGGCAGCAGGGCCTCGCGGCTGATGGTGCCCAGCTGGTTCCTCCTGAGGTCCAGCAAGGCCAGCGAGGACAGCCCGACCAGGGCCTCGTCCTCCAGCAGCTCAATGCTGTTTTCTTGCAGGTGCAGCTCCTGCAGGCGCTGAAGAAAAGACAACTGGTCATCAGGGAAGAGGCCCTGAGCAGGCCCAGGGTTCTCCATCCACCCTGCAGACTGTAGGCTGGGGTTGGCTTTTTTCCCCCTCACTATTCCGACCCTGCAGGGCGAGTAGCAGAACGGAAGGACCCCCGCCCCTCTTGGCCCCGCTTACGGGCAGGTGCCGGAAGGTGAAATCCAGCAGTCGCGCCAGCTGGTTGCCCGCCAGGTAGAGCACTCGCAGCTGGGCCAGACCGGCAAAGGAACCGCCGCGCAAGCCGCGCAGCCGGTTGCCAGTGAGCGCAAGCTCCAGCAATCGCGACTGCGCGCGGAAGGTGTCGGGCTCCAGGGTGCGCAGGCTGTTGTTGGGCAGGTAGAGATGGCGCAGGTTGGCGAGAGGCGCTAGGGCGCCAGACTCCAGACGCGCGATGCTGTTGTCCTGCAGGAACAGCGTCTGCGGGCGGGGAGGGGGGGGCTTATCCCACGGCAGGGTCGCCCTCGCCACCGGGGCGCCTCCTACCCCGCCCCCACGCCCTCCTTCCAGCTCAGGGTCCCTCCGCCCGCGTCCCGGCGACCCTACGCGGGGCCCACCTGCGTGCCCGGCGGGATTCCAGGTGGGACAGCGCGCAGCCGCAGGGCGCCGCACTCCACCGTGGTGCTGTAGCAGCGACAGGCTGCTGGGCAGCCGGCGGCGCGGGGCGGGAGCCCGGGTGGCGGCGGCGGCAGCAGCAGCAGCAGCAGCAGCAGCAACGCGGGAACCCCCGGGGCCATCTCCCGAGAGACCCACTGCGGACCACAAAGCTGCGGCCTCCCACGGGCCGCTGGGGGTAGGCTGCTCCTGAAACACAGTGAGCAGACCTGGCCCTAACATTTGGGAGCCGGCACAAGAGTGAGCACAGGTGAGGCCCACACCATACCTCTAATTTTCAAAAAGTTACAAATCAGATTAAGAAACAGATAAAATGTTTTCATCTCCTGTCCTGACAAAAACCGTTTCATAAATTTCTAGGACATCAGTTTCGGTGTTGGAATTCCTGGTCTCCTCAGTCTGGTCCCAGGATGTGGCTGTGGTGGGGAGAACCACCCCAGCCCCACAACCCACGTCCCATCCCACTCTGCCCTGTGCTGAAGGGCTTCCTGCTCCTGCTTGTGGCCAGCCCCTCATGTCCTCCCTGCCCCCTGGTGAGGCACTACAACTGGGCTGGGAATCTGTGGGCAGCAGTTCCAGCTGTTACCCCAGCGTGGGCAGGGGGAGAGGAGGCACAGGGCATGCACTCCCCGACCACACAGACGCTTCACCCTGTGGGGCAGGCATGACGCCCAGAGCCAAGGTCCCTTTTGTGCCCCCAGGACAAGGCACCCCACAATGCCAGTGTCCCTGTCTCCATCTGAGGTTCACTCCAGTCCCCTGGTCTCATGCTCTGTCCCCTTCCTAGGTTTCACCTGTTGGACTCGGTGGGGATATGGGTAGAGCTGGCCTCAGAGGAGCCACTGGCCTCGGGAAGTTGAAGGCACAGCTCTGTCCAGCCCCTGCCCTCCTGAGGGGTGGAGCAACTTAGCTAGAATTGTGGCTTTTTCTCAGGGAATTAAGAGGGTGGGGATGCAGAAAGCAATAGGAAAGGCAGTCCAGGGGCCACAGCTGTGCTCCCCATGCTGGTTTTCGGAAGGACATCCCTGTCTTTGGGGGTAAGTGGGGTCCCCAGGAGGGCTGGGGTGTGAGAGAGGGGCCCTGGGCCACCAACTGGGTTTCTAGTGCAGCTGCCCAACTGGGTTCTGTGGGCAGTGACTTCCAAGAATGTGCAGGGCCATACTGCAGCGGTGACCCTGGAGAGATGGAAGGCCTGGGTCTAGCTCCCGGCAAAAGCCCCATTTTAAAGGTGGGAACCCAGTGGAGAAGTCTAGCTCTTCTGGAGCCAGGGACAGCAGGGCAAAGGGTGAGCCCCCCGCCCAGCCCCTACCTGTCCACCAGTCTCCCCACAGGCTGGAGTCATGAGAAGAGGTGTCACATGTCTTTGTTGTTTGCTTAAATCTTATTCTAAATTGTAACTCACGTAATTATATAAATTAATAGAGATGAGGTGTGGAAACTTAAGCACAGCAATAGTTTTAATGAAAAAGCTTTGGCCCAGGCAGAAGCAGTTCCCAGGTGTCCAGGATGTGTATGAACCCCCAGAAAGATGGGAGCATTCTCTGGGCCCCTGGGGTCCATTTCCCCAAGCACAAAGGCTGACCCAGGGCTCCAGGCCTTGCCCACTAGCCTCCAGCAATCAGGCCTCAGATGGAGAACCTTCTTGGCCTCCTCCTCGGGACTCAGGGCGCTGCTGCTCACAGGAATCTCTGGATGCAGGTCTGTGTAGAAGGGCCAACCTAGGCAGGGATGGGGCCCAGTGTGGGGAAAGGGGAGAAGGCTAGCCCAGAAATCCTTTACCCAGCAGACAACCCCCTAATCCGGCTGGACTAAGGGCGGGCGCCACGCACAGGAGTTGGTGGTGCCTGGTACTGTTTTACGGGCCCCCATCTGTGTGCGGGCGGGAAGTGGGGAAGAGGAGGGAAGCCCTGCACCTGTCCTTGGGCGCTCTGCAAGACTCCATCAGGAGTCTGTGGGCGGCTCCCGCGCATCTCCGCAGCGCTGCCGCCGGGATTGCCCTTTGGACCCCCACGGCTACCCCTGCCTGCCCCCACCTACCGCGCAGGTCTTCCCAGCCCGGCCCAGGGTGTGGTTTCCGCGTCTCCCAACCCCCGCCAGGAAGCGCGTCCTTCTCGGTGCGAGCCGGGGTTAGGGCTGTGCCCTTAACCCGCCCGCACGGCCCGGTGACCTTGGGTCGCGCGCCCCCTCACCTGACGCTGTAGCGGCACGCGGCTCCCCTTCCCAGCCCGCGGCGACCCCGGGGCAACGGAGCAGCGGCCCGGGAAGGGGCGGGTTTCCCGCAAGCGCACGCGCACTGTGGGCCCGTGCCTCCTGCCCCGGCCGCCTGGACCTGACGTCGCCAGCGCAGGTCAATCCGAGGATGCCTGAAGCCTCGGTGTGGGGGCGGGAGGCGCGTGGAGGGCCCGTGACCTCCGGCTCTTTGCGCGGCCGGGTCCCAGAGAGCCGCCCGGCGGCCCGGCTGTGGCAGCACCTCGGACAGCGCCGGGCGGGCGGGACACACGGTACACCCCGCCGCGCACGCGCTCTCGGCCGCCGCGCGCTCGCACGGCGCGTGCGCTCAGGGCGACGGGACCGCGGGTAACAGTGGAGCCAGGTCCATGGTGAGGGCGAGGAGACGGCCCCGCCAGCGTACATGCGAAGGCAGCGCGGGCTCGCCGGGCGTGTACTCGAAGCAGGCACTGAGCTCGAAGGCCAGGGCCGAGCGCACCAGGCCCACGCCGCCCGCCTGCTCCGGCGCTGGGTGGTAGAGGCGCCCATTGGCGGCCAGGGGCAGCAGGCGCGCAGGCTCGAAGGGCACGGTTAGGGCCTCGCCGCCGCCGCAGTAGGAGAGGCGCGGGGGCCCGGTGCCCTCGGCCAGCAGGTGCGTGAAGACCACGGGCCGGTCCTCGCAGCGCAGGAAGTTGCGCTCTCTGCCGCAGAGCGAGAGGAAGGGGAAGGCGGCTTCATAGCGCCCGCTGCGGTTGGGTGTCAGGCGAGAGAAGAAAGCGACCAGAAACTGCGGGTCTAGGGGGACGAAGGGCGCAGATGCAAACCTCGTGAAGCTGACGCCCCAGTCCCTGCCCCCCATCGGGTGGCTCGTTTTGGCCACACTGCAGGCCAGCACCGGCTGTCCCGATCTCGGCCTCACTTTAGACCGCGGGGCTCCTGAGAGCAAGGACTCCCAGTCCCTTGCTACGTTCTGCCGCTGGCAGGGTGTGTGTAGGCGAGCCTACCCGGGGCTGTCCCGAAGGCGGAAAGAAGCAGCGGTACCTTTGTAACAGGTGATGAAGTTCTTCATTTTGGAATCATCCAGGAAAAGCTGCAGACAGAGGGCACGCCGTGGCCCATCAGTCCCAGCATGCGGCCAACCAGAGCCGGCCCAGGGGGGCAGGATGGGGGAGGCCCGGGTGGGCCTGAGCTCTGTGTCGGGGTGCGGGGAGGTGCGTGGGAAGGTAAAACTGTGGTCCCTTCCCCGCGCCTCTTCCCTCCAAGTGTATAATTTGATGTGCCACCTCCTCCGTGGAGGCTGTCTTGCCTGCTCCTGGACGAGTAGGATGCCCCATACAGGGCTTCCAAAGCAGGCGGGACGGCTGGTGTGTGCCGGGCAGCGGTGGCTATAGAGTCCACGCCGGGCTGGGGCCCACGTGGTTGGGACGGGTTCTGACCCCGTGGGAGAGGCTGAGCCCCTCAGCCCCGGACGCGGCGCCACAGTCTCTCCGGGGCGCCGCCCGAACTCTGCAGAGTCGGGGTACTTCGCTTTTAGGCCCCGCCCACCCTCGGGTCCCGCCTCCTCTTGCACAAGGACCCCTCCCTTCCGGCCCCGCACAGGCCCTTCCCCCAGCTGACCTGGCCCTGGTGGTCCACATAATAGAAGTACTCGCGCGTCCGGGGCTCGGGGCTCTGCCCCTGCGTGTAGGAGACGCCTCCGCCTCCGCCCCCGCTGCAGGGCCGGGTTCCCCAAGACCGCGCCAAGGCCAGGGCCCGGAGCACCCCGCACGGAGGCCACATCCTGCTCCCGCACCGGAAACGGTCGCTGGTCACGGGGCGGCGCTGCGCGAACACGCGTCCCCTTACGGCTTCCGCACCGCGCTTCGGGTTCCGCGCGGCCAGCTGCGCCCGTTGCCCCGCCCG